ATCGATTCGATTATTCAGGAGGATCATTTCTACATGAAGTATAACTTGTGCAATTCCGGAAAAGCCGGAATTCCTACCTATTCCGGGCGATTCCGGAAAAGCCGGAATGTGCACGAATTCCGGAATTCCGCTACGGAATCGATTCGATTATTCAGGAGGATCATTTCTACATGAAGTATAACTTATGCAATTCCGGAAAAGCCGGAATTCCTGCCTATTCCTACCGATTCCGGAAAATCCGGAATGTGCAGGAATTCCGGAATTCCGCTACGGAATGGAATAAGTCGCTCACCATGTTCATTTCTACATCAAGCATATCTTTCGTAATTCCAGAATTGGCAGGAATCGAATTCGATCTGTTCCGGAAAAGGCAGGAATCGTATGTAAGGAATTCCGGAATTGAATGATGTTAAATTGGGTGGGTGCAGCGATTCCGGAATGTGTAACTTTTGGGAATAGGAAGCATTCTCTTTGCTAGTGGTTGTTGTTTCAGTTTTGGCGCTTCTAAGAAAATTTCTTCTTGTTCCTTATCCATGATTATATAATTAAATTAACCTGTCAGAGTCTATCGTTCTCAGAATTGTTATAAATGTATCGATGTATATTTTGCGGAGTTTTGGATCAAGTAAAAAATGAATTCTTTTTTACAACATTTTATAATAGAAAGAAAAAAAATAATATCATATGACTTCAACAAGATCAACTGATGATGACAAAACATAAATAGTCTTATCACATGATTTATTTGTGTGAAGAGAAAAAGACATGAATAGATTTATGGACTATAATAAAAGGTGAGTAAATAGCAGAGAAAAAAATTTGATTGGTTAACTATTTTGCTTTGCCATGTTGTGACATACATTGATATGTATTTATAACTTTAAAAAAAAGATATGAATGTTGATATACAACACAATCTTATTCTATCAAAGAACATTATTTGTGCATGAAGTAGAAGTGACGTTGAATCTAACCAATTTTTTGTCATTATGATCATAGACATACAAGTTTTCTAATCGATCAAATGCTAATCGATCTGGGAAGGAGATACTTGTTGCACCACCACCTAAAATTCCTCCAACAGCAATGCCAATGTATTTAGCATCCAGTGTCCATCGAGTAACTTTAGCGTTTTCAGCAATCAAAATATTACCCATTTTATCCACAAGTATGGCTTGAGGCTCAATATAATCTCCAGGTGCATCAGAAAGAACTTTACTTGGACCACCACCTAAAACAGTTACTCCGTATAGAGATCCGCTTGAAAATCTTTTTGTGGGATGACCAGAAGCACCCGTTATAACGTATGCGAAATCGTTCATTTCATCTACATTGAATCCTTGCGGAAACGGAAACGGGTCGGAAATATACTCCTCTTTTTGTCGACCACCAATAAGTATTTGTGATGAACTATCAGCTTTCCATTTGACAATACGATGACGACCTCCATCTAATACAAATACATCACCTACGGAGTTTACATATAATCCTATACAATTGGTATCAAGTTGATCTAAATTCCAACCTTTTCCGTTAGACCTAAATACAGTTATTGGTGTTGAACTTCCATTGACGAGTTTATATACACCTTGAGTATCGTTAAAGATATAAAAAAAGTAAAGTGAATCGGTTAATGAATGATAAAATAAAGGAGTAGCTGGAAAGTGACCATTGAACAAATTGATCGGTTCACTAGCACCTGGAGGCCATTTTTGCAAAGTATTCAAATGTGAATTGCTAATATATATATTAAAATCATTATCGACAGCAAAACTTGATACATAATCGGATTTAAGCAATATGTCTCCAATTGGATTCCAACTGACTCCAACGCAAATTCCTGATACTACAAAGTTGAGCAACAAAAGGTATTTGTATGATTCATGCAGAAAACAAAATACAAACCTTGCTGTTTTGTTGTTGTTGGTTTTGTCATAGTTGTATTGATAGTAACTGATGATGTGTGTTGAATTCGTGTTGCTACAAATACCAAAGTTAAAGTGAACAATGATAAAAGTACTATTGAACATAATCCAATAATAATAATTTGATTTCGTTTACATCGAGACGGCTGATTAATTTCCTCTTCTAGACTTTCAAGTAAAGGATCATGTGAATCAGATACAGGATCGTTAACCATTCAGACAAAATTATTTTCACTTATGAAAATAAACGTATACAGACATAGTTGTATTGATTTACATCATGCGCAAATTTATTCATGCGTATACATACATTATTTTTCTCCTTTTACGCGCTGTTCTATACCGTTCTACAATCGTACTACTAGTGCGATTGTATAAAGTAATTTTTTCATGCGGTTATTTTATTCAGAACTGAAAAAAATATTTAAGTAAGGTGAAATTACAAATAAATATAATATTTAATATAATGATTTCGTCGTATCATTCTAGAAATGAGTGACTCTGTGACAAACCAAATTTCAAATGATTCTTCAATTCCATCAAGTCGTCATTATTCGTCAAACAACGACTTAATTGATCAATATACTTTAATCTGGTTAGATCATAGCGCATTGGACAATTCACTTGATTCATTACGTACAAAAACATTATTTCGAGAAGTTAGTGATGCTCCTTGTTTATTCTTTAATAGTGTGGAATCATTTTTACTCAAAATACAGGAACTAAGAAATCAGGAGATTAAAATTCTCATTATTGTATCTGGATCATTTGCAAAAGAAATTCTTCCTGATACGAGAAATAACTTTCGGATAATTATATTTTGCCGAAATTCTAATAAATACAAACGTTTAAAGGAACATTATCCAAATATCATTGATATTTGCACTGAACGTGAAACATTGGAGACTTCTATTCAACGTGAATTACCATTATTAAAATTCAATTTATTTAGTAAAGAAAAACTGAATTCGTTACGTTCATTAGCTTCATCAGAAAATGCAACGCATAATGGTGCTTATTTTTCGTACATGTTATTTATTGACTTTTTAAAACAAATTCCTTCGACATACCAAGCAAAAGATATTATGTTAAATAAATGTCGAGATCATTTTAGTCAAGATGGAAAACAACTCGAACGTATTGAAGAATTTCGTGGTACATATAAACAAGAGGAAGCAATTCAATGGTATACAGAAGAGTCGTTTCTTTATCATCTAGTCAATCGTGCATTTCGAACAGAAAATATCGAATTATGGTATTTATTTCGTTTTTATATTAGTGATTTATGCAAACAATTAGAAGATGTTTACCAGAAACAAAACTGTCAAACAATTTTAAGACTCTATCGTGGACAATCTCGCTTACCAACTGAAGAATTAGAAAATTTTAGCTCAAATATAGGTGGTTTCTTATCAACAAATGCATTTTTTTCCACGTCAAAAAATATTGCTGTAGCTAAGGCGTATATAACAGATGCTCCTAATACAGACGATGTTAAAGTAGTTTTATTTGAGATAACTGTTGATGCATCTAATTTAAGAAATACGATTTTTGTTGATATTAATGAACATTTAGGATTCGGACCATCAAATAAATTTCCAGGAGAAGAAGAAGTATTATTTAATATTGGTTCAGTTTTTCAAATTGAAAATATTAATTTTGATGATAATTTAAACGCATGGAAAATTAAAATGAAAGCAACCGATGAATGTACAGATTCGATAAAAGAACGTATTAACTCAATGAAAGAAAAATTTAAAAATGGAAATAATAATTTATTATTTGGTCGTTTATTACTTGATATGAATCAGCATACTAAAGCTGAATCATATTTTCAAATGATGTTAAAAATATTACCTAAATCACATTCTGATTTACCTTTAGTTTATGATTATATTGGTGATTTAAATATGCATACAACAAATTGGAATGAAGCATTTAAAAATTTTCATCTATCCTATGAAATAAAGAAGACAAAAACACATCCAAATCATCATCAAACGATTGGTATAACATTAAATAGTTTAGGAAATTATTATAAGGCTATTTGCGATAGGTGTCAAGCATTAAAATATTATTCAAAAGTTTTAAATTGTAAAATAAATCCATATAATATTGCAATTACTCTATTGAATATCAGTACGATTCATATTATAGAAAAAAATTATAATAAAGCATTGGATTTATGTTTACAAGCTCGAAATATTATTCAGGAGAATTTTTCAAACACATATAGTGCTGTTATTCGATGTCATAGAATTATGGGTGATATATATTTTGCTCAAGAAGATTATGATCAAGCAAAAGATTTTTATTTTGCTGCATTCGATCTGAGTAAAAGAGCTTTGTTTACTACTGATCGTCAACGAATTGTTTGTATAAAAGCATTAACTACTTTCTATTATCAACAAAATATGAAACAACAAGCAATTGAATTTTGTCTTAAACAATTAAATTTTTATGAACAACATTTAACGAAAAATCATATTAATATTGTGCATTTATTATTGATTATTGCTGAATTGTATGAAGATAATGATAAAGAAAGAATTGATTATTTGGAAAAAGCATTAAAGATTTTAGAAGAAAATATTCATCTTCATTATGATACAACAGCGAATTGTTTGAAATTAATTGGACAATATTATCAGAAACAACAATTAAATGATAAAGCAATGACATTTTATAAAAGAACTTTAGAAATACAGAAGAAAATTTATCCAAAAAAACATTTTACATTAAAAGAAATTCAATATTTAATTGATATGATTGACAGTTAGTTTCAGGGTATAGATATGGCTGATCTATACTCTTATCTACTTAAAAACAAAGTGACACTAGAGATTCTTTTTTCATCGTTATATAAAATTTAGTAATTGATGTGACACTAATAAAAGTTTTATTATTTATGTGTTTACTATGCACCCATAAATTATTTACTTTTACACACTAGAATAATTTAAATGGTTTTTCGTTAATATTTCAAAAGAGTATTTACTTCACTATCGGGAACACCGATTATACAGTAAGCGCATTCAAAAAAAAAAAAGAGACGCGAAAACCCTATATGTTTTCAACAGTAAGAGTATTTTTTTCATTCGATACTCACACCCACACCCATACCCTAGTGCAAAATTTAATGTATGAAAACATTTATAAGTCTTCTTATTTCATCGTTTACACGGTAAAATTTTTATTATCAGTTACGGAACAAATTTATGAAAAAAAAACATTCAAAATTTCAGTTACAGAGCGTTTACACGGTGATTATTAACAGTGCAAAATTTGTTATTTACAATTTAATGAGGATTTAGACAATAAAAAAAGTAATTTCGTAAGCGTTTGTCTGCTTGAATGCTTGTTTTTACTTTTTCTTTCTTTTATTGATATGACGAAACCTAAGGAGAGCGCCCAATTTCTATTCGAGTCTTGTTTTTATGATTTCTTCTCATTTTAAATATCACCCTTATTTGATACATCATGCGATACTTCACTTCCATCGCAATTCGACCTTATTGTGCTTCTCTTTCGTGTTCTTTCTTTCACTTTGATGAATGGATTTAGAAGTGTTTATTTTATATGAAATTGATGTGATTCTTGATAAGAAGAAATATAATAAAGTGTAATACTATCAGCACAATCACTTAATCTGTCACAATAACAAATAAAAGTAATAATCGATTTTTTTCAACGATCATGTTATTTGCGCTTTCTCTTCTTTTTCTTTTTTTTATTCATTCCTTTTTGGTAGTGCATTTTAATGTTCGATTGAAAAAATATACACTTCCGATTGATAGCTAGCATGAGTAATATTGTAAAGAATGATGATTGAGATAAGAACAAAACGTTTTATTATCTCTTATAAAGATGCAAGAAATACAACAATTTTTCTTTTAGATAAAATCAGTGAGATCGTTACAAGCATGTCAACATCCTTAGGTAAGTATAAACAATTACGTGACTATTTCTGCAATCATTTCTTTTCATAATTCAAAAGAATGCAACTCCTTATTACAACAAACTTTATCAGGTGATGAACAAATTAGTGTAGAAGACACAAGCGAGGAACCGAATGGAACCACAACTGATAACATGCGTACAAGTAAGTTATGAGTTCAGTCTTCTACAGTAACAAGACATTGATAGGAATTTGTATTTTTTTACTCGATCTAGATGAAAGTATAATATCGACAGATTGTACATTAACGATAGTTAATAATACTATACCAAATGATCAAACAGATGCTATTGTAGAACCACTATCATCATTAGATTCACAACAAAATAGCAACAACAAGCAAGGAACAACAACGACGGATATATCACCGAACACAGAACGACGTATGTTTAATTATAGAGAAATTATTGTTGTAATTTTTATATTTTATAGATATCAGCCAATGGAGTGAAGATGAAGTATTAGGATGGTTTCAATCTTATAACCTCGACGGGTACATAAAAGTTAAATTCTATTGAAAAATATAAATATCTTTTAGAATACACAAATATCTTTTTGCTCGGCATGAAAAAAAAGACGGTACAATGCTAGCAAAACTATTTGAATGTAAAGTCCAAGTAAGTGGTTTTACACTGCCTTATTCAATTTAATAAAAAACTCACATTTTGTACAACAGTACTCGAATAGTTTTCTTCATTTAGAATTGCGATCTTTATAGAAAAAATTATGGAGGTCGTTTGCCAAGCAAAGAAAAAAATCTTTTAAAAGATTTCGATCGTTTTGGGCAACAACTTGATTCACTTTTTATTGATAAATTAGAACATCGATTTGATGTGGCATTCTCATTCCCAGGTATGAATATTTCACGACAAATAGTTATAATCTTTTGCTTTCTAGGTGATATACGAGAGCGGGTCAGTCATATCGCAGAAAAATTATGCAAGAAAATTAATACAGACGGACAACAACGAGTTTTCTACGACATGTATCATAAAGCTGAATTAGCACGTCCAAATCTAGATCTTTATTTACAAACCATATATCGTTATCAAACAAAATTAATTGTCGTTTTTATGTGCGATGAATATTCACGTAGAGAATGGTGTGGTTTAGAAGCACGGGCTATACGCAGTCTAATGAAAACATATCAAAATAGTCGAATTATGTTATTATCAGTGGATGGAAAAGCTATTGAAGGTGTATTAGATATCGATGGATATTTGGATATTTCAGAAAAAAAGGATGATGATAATGATG